TTCCGGTAAAACCATAAGCCATTATAATTGATGATCCTTATTACCTTGAATTGATAGAATATGGGCAGTTTGCGGCACGTCGGCGATGAAATACGCTGCGGTGGCGGTGATTATATCGTCGCTATGCTGTTGCAGGAGAATATGGTACAGAGGTTTGTCTAGAACAGTTGTCCGTTAGCGCTGTGATGATAGCTCGCGCACACGGGATTTATTCCTTTGGGGCAATGAACTATTCGAAGTTGCATCTCGGGTGTCATCGCCTTGTCAACAGGTTCAAGACAATTGGAATCAACAGTAGAAGCATCATAGAAAGCTTGTCGGCAGCAGAGGTCATCCATGTTTTGCCCTCGAATAGTTGACATACTGAACCACGTGACCAGGATACTGTAAGTAGCCTGAGTGAAAACTCATTTTTTCAAAGGCAATAAAAGCGACTATGAAATCCCAACAAATGAAGACTTCCAACGCCGATATAGCTTTTTTTGGGATAAGTAGTAGCGGTGAAAGGAACATAAAAGACAGAGTGTAGGATAGTGTAGGTTTGCAAACCGGATACTGAGGCAGACAAGTACGTGGTAGGCAATTTATTAGAATGACATGACAGAGGTTGCAAACAGAAGTATGTACATAAGCAAGTGAATATTGGAGAATAGCGTACATAAGCAAGAAGTGAACCATGGTCTTGACAGCCTAGCGCGTGCGGATATGCAGATCAGTTCAACATGAAAACTTACATAGAAATCATTGCTCCTGGTGCCACTAGGCTTGCTTTCGCCCCTCCAAGGGTCGATCAGGAGCCCAATCCACGTAGCATTGGTTCCCATCTTACTGAACAGTCGCTCTAGCCAGTCGACAATCATGTACCTAAATTACCCAGCCAGTGTAATCTACGTTGTGTGAATTTTACGGAAAGGGCCTCTGCCACTGGCCCCGACAGAAACACTGGCTCTAGGAACGAGAGCGGAAGTCCCAACGTGACAGACATGAAGCTGCTTGCCCGTGCCTGTGGTAAACACAAAAGAGCGCATGTGAATTCAGAAGGTTCGCAAGGAAACGGCCAAGGATGATGATGTTTTCATGGTTTGGAAGTTTCAACCGTGAGGATGCAGACGGCTGATGCGACGAGCGGGTTCAACACATCAGTTGAAAACGACACTGGCTGCGGCCGATGCACCATTTCTGTCGTGACCAAGTGCTCGAGCATTGGTGTTTCTACCCAGGCCACACCAAAAGTGGGAGTTGAAGTACTCCCGGGGGACGGTACGAACGTGCGTCCGAGGGTGCGCGCGGCGAATTGCGCGACAAAGTTCGTGACGATTTGTACGACTGCGGCGCCAATTTTCGAGGCACAAACTCGAAGTAGTGTAGTTTAGCAGGGTCGGATGATCCTCCTAATCCACTCTATTTGAAATTTGAGCCCCAATGACAGGCGCCGAACCCGTCCAAACCATTACGAATTCCGCCGCGCAGTTTGCCGCGCGCATCCTCGGACGCACGTTCGTACACATACCCAGTACTCCCGCATCCCTGACAGGATAAGTCGCGCCGAAGAACGCTCCACTACGAAAAGCCTGTTGCAGGTGAAGGGAGGCCTGCTCCCTTGCACGCTGAACCCCACGCTCTAACGAGGACATGCGAAGTGTACTCGGTGCGGGAGTGAATCCTATTAATTAGACTACAAGTATTAGTAACCAGTTTCACGACATGAGGACACTACAAAATATTAACTTCACGTGATAAAGCCACATATGCAATGGGAATACCATAACCAAATGAAATTCTGCTAAAGACACGAATTCATGAAATAGTTACATCGGGACTTAGCCGCAAGAGACTGAGATGATATATCAAGAGGGAAATGAAATGGTCGACAGTTGCGGGTAATGGCCCCCGGACCTTGAGCCGCGGTAGGACCAACTGCAGGTGGAATGCGAGCACGTTCCCATCAAGGTCGTTCACCATTTGAGCAGCCTGTTACAGCCCTAAGTTTTTTTTGCAGCGTCTCTCGAATTCATTCCGAAGACGCGATCGATCAATGCGGAGCCGATGTTTGACTTCTCTGACGGAAGAACATTAACCGACTTCGGAAGCCATATTTATCAAGTAGTCATCAGGCAGAGTAATACCGAAACGTCGGGACAAACTAGAATTCCATGCCTGCCTGATCATTCTGCACCGGCCTTATAGCCAAAAATCTCCTACATGCAGTTATGGTTAACGGCGTGCATAATGCTTATAGTTATGGGTTGTTTGCTTAGACAATTCACGTGGTACAAGGCTTGAGGGAGGATTTCTCTATGGAATGGACTTGCTGGACGGAGTCCTTAGTCCGTTCTATCCAGTCCTTAATGGACGCAGTTTTATGAAATTCTTATCATTTTGCCTGTACCTGCTCCAATGCCACTGTGTAGTGCTTCGTTACTGAGCATCATAAGTTTTTTGTATACACCCTCGATGCCATAGTAAACAAGCATTCAAAACCCTATTAAGTTGGATGTATGCACTCAATCTCTCAACTGCTCCGGCATCCTGGAAAAAATCAAACTTCAAAAGAATTGATCAGTGCTCATACCTTTGCTATTCCTTCTCCTATTACACTCAACTACAAGAAACCTTCAGCTGAAAAAGCTGAGCGTTAAATTATGGATATGAACAGGGATACTACTATGTTTATCGTTATCAACAGCTGAAAATAAGACTGTTGTGATGTAATACTCTCGGTGTGAGTCATTTCATATTTTTGTACCTGCCTGAGAAGTGACGCAGTCAGTCTTCCTGCCAGGGATATGGAGGACAAGGTGGGTGATGTAGTCAGTGCAGTAGATTATGCTATCAAAAACTGCTATCATTCAGAAGGCTCATGAAGACACATGGTCGAATCAACAAGTTCACAAAACCTTCCCTCAAAACGCTGTTCGAGTTGTTGGACAACCGAATACGTATGTAGCATTATGGTATCACTGCGGAAAACCAGTGATGGGAAGAGCTTGGAACGATTGTGGCGTCATGCAGGTGAGATCAGGAAACACAATGAAATAAAAGTCTCGCAGAGTCACTACTCTGAACCGTAGCTACGATTCTCCGCTTCGCGGGAGTTACCTTCACCATAAAGAAATGTTCAATCATTTTCGTTCTTTCTATTTGAGGCTTGAGCTCAACTCGATAGCACTTGTTACGATAACCGTAATCATTTTCTCACTAAGATCGGGAGCCCTTGTAACCTGTACAATATATCGCAAATCTCGCATGAAAACTTGTCATTCGAAGAGAAACACGCGTTCGGAACACTCTCCATCACTTCCATCCATAAAATAAAGTTTTAAATCACTCTCGAGATATCACTAGCAGTGAATACTGTATTTGATACCAATCGCCCGGCTAGCGCTAGGATTTCCTCCTTCTCACAACAATGTTGTGATGACCGGCTGACCTGCCACTCTTCTTCAGAATAAATGATACTTTCATGAGCACCAAATTCCACACATGACTAACAGGGCAGTACAAAAGGTGTTCAGTATGTGCCTACCCTATGTGCTGTGCCTATGTGCTCACTCCTATGATTGGCAGTCTCGATCTGTTGCTTTCCATCGTCAAGTTGATTACCTATCAGAGATCCAACAGTAAAGCAAACCAAACAATGAACGGTACTCACAAATATTGTCAAGTGATAATACTTTCTCTGCACATTTATCTTTCAAAACAACACTATCGAAACAAAGAGGAACCATGATACTTCATTGAATCGATGCTGGGTAGCGGTCGTAGTCTAATAGCAAGAAATGAACCAAATATCCTTCTCGCTATGGAGAAATGTCTTTGATCGGTACCTATCACTACATTTGCTCGTCTTATTCAATGAAACATATACGAGAGTCAATGTTTGATCGTGAGAGTCAATGTTTGATCGTGATTGCCAAAGAGCTTGAGATTCAATTGGTAAATGGCTCTTGTGCTCTAAGCCTCCTTATCAACTCTTATCAGTTGTTGTCAGTTCCTGTTATAGAATGCTACGACCACATCAAATCCTACATCATCTATTAAAATGTCAAGGATCCATTGTTGACACGAAGTGGATTGCAAATCTAGTGGCTCTAGCATTCTGAGCTCCTTGTCAGCCCTTGCCCGCGTGTTATCAGTCTTTGACACCAATCACCTACGGTCTTTTCACATCCCACACCACCCACTAAAGTGCTCCAGCGTTAATATGAGGGACGTTGTAGACCCAATAGCTCTCGCTCTCTAGCAGTTGTTGCCATTCCCTATCACTAAGTATGTACCATCCTTTTTTAATACACACCTTTTACTGAAAGGCCATGGCTTCACTGTTAACACGGAGGAAGTGACGGATCCTGCGGCTGTCGCCTTCTAAGGCGGTATGTCAACTCCTTTTAGTTGTTATCACCTCCTTTCACATATCATTAGTATCCTGCCTTCTATACTCCTACTACATTTCAACGCTCTAGGTATGGGAACAGAACTTGCGAATTTCTGGTCAAACACACTCATCGACACACCCACACCAACTAACCAACAGGCAACTCAGCAATTTATATATCTTAGGGTAATTTGGCAGGTGCGGTCACTATTACAAAAATGGCTGTCGAAATGGAAATATCTACTACCTATATCAGAATAGTCTTCCTCGAGCAAATAGTGTTGTATCTAGATAGGTTTCAAAAGCTTCTTGAGCTCTCTAACAATGAGAATTTCAAGAAGAAAAACATTGTAGTTCGCTACTTTCGCGCTTCGACACACTTTTTTCTGACAAAAAGGTGTTTGAAAGTCTTTAAGTCCTAGCGCTTTAATCAATCTCGTCGAAGGGTGCGCCCCACTAGAAGGTCGACCTCCACTCAGAATCGTAGAAGGGTTTCGAATGCGTGCATGGCCTATACAATGGCTTGCGGTGGTCACCAGTTGCACATTTCACTGCTTTTGTCTTACTAGGCCAACTTTCACAAATTATCCGATTCCGGAGATGTGGTAGTCTTGTTAGGACAAGGCTATCAGCTATCAAAATCGTGCGGTTAGGGTTCGGAATCGACCAGGATTGGATCCCTATCCATGCGATTTTGATAGTGCGCCACTGTCGCTACACCAATGAGCAGTATGCGTGGTGCAATAACAATGTCACTCAACGCGAAAAGGACTACGGAAGACGAATATCGAATCAAGAAAGGTATGCTGGTGAGCACTCCACCGCAAATCTAAAACAAGTCCGGCTTATACCGGCCTCCTTTCATATGTGGCAGGGTTGAAGTGCTCGGCTGAGATCTGAGGTTTCCATTCAGTACGGAAGGGGTTACTACGATTATAAGCTCTATTCTCTTCAGATCTCCCAAGACTTGACCACTCGCTTAAGATTCAAGATGCCGAACACCCTAATGGTTGGAGGGTATTACAATATTATGACACACTTGACAGAATGCAATGCATTCTCCTTATACACAGCTGCTTTGATACACATACATACCCCCTCCCTTCCAAATGGAGGTTCGCCAAAACTCGCAAGAGACATGTGGTCATGTCATTCTGATAACACAAATGATGAAGACAAATTCCGTAAACGGTTATGCTAACTCAAACACTCACCGACGTCAATCACTGTGTATTGACAATGTAACTGTAATTTCGATTGCGCGGGATCATATTTCGGGTACTGAGATCCAATAAATAGGTAAGATTAGATCTGAAGTTATTAAAAGAATCAAACTACTCCTGAGACCTTCTGAAACACAAAAAGGAGATAAACAGACGAGAATGCTCAGGAAAAAAAGGCATAGTGAATAATGAGCGAAATTGCTCTATCTGCCGTAAATGTTAGAATGGTTGTAGGAACACGCGGAGTTGTGGAACAAGTGAACTGGACGTCGATGGAGTTTTGGTATAGCCTAAGCCAGCTAAAACCTTGTGACCCGTAGACAACGGTAATGGCAGTCTACCATTCCGGCAGCTGTTCCTTCCAAGACATTCTGCTGCAATTGTTCGGGTTGTGTTAACGAGTGTTTCCCTCGAAAAACTCCCTAGAAATGTAGGCTGTCCGGAAAGGTGTACTCGGAGACATTGAGTAGAACTGCTACTGTGGGGTTGTAAGGATCGGGGTCAGATAGCATGCCCTATATTCGCCAACTCTCATGAAAATTTCTTAGAAAAGTTCAATACTACATTCCAGTCTTAAGTATATTAAGATTCCTTGAGATCTGTTCCTGGAAGAAGAGTATCATAGACAACATATTCGACACCAAATTCTTTTCTATTACCGCCAAAGCGAGAGTTGATCGAAATGTGATATCCAAAGGGGCAATGCTCTGTTGGAACACACACTGCTGAAAATTAGAAGGAGTGAATCACTTTGAAGATCAGTAAAATTAGCAGCGGCCATCCTCAAATGACAACGACAAATCAAATGTTAGACCAAACGATTTGGTGCATGACCACTCATGAAATAGTATACTTTTTGGAATGCGCGGTAAGAGGAGATGAGAAATGGATTGTGTATGGCAATGTATAGCGGAAACGACTGCGAGTGACTTCAGTAAACCCCCATTAACCACTCAAGTAACATCCGCACAGAAATTCATACGCTTCTGTGCGCTTGTGCTGGTGGGACCGGAGTTAGCTGTTGTGAGCTACTTCTGCACAGCCAATAGTTCCAACCAAAAGACACTGAATTTAACTATACTATAGTACTGAATTTAACGTTGGCTATATATTGAAGGCAGCAATAGAACAGAAGCACCCAGAAGTAGCCAATCTTAAACGAGGGGTCTCATAAGGGCAACGCCATAGTATCATCAAACTATCATTAGTTCAGATTTCTTTGAAATTTTTTTTGTAAAAAACCATTTGATTTTCTGTATGACTGCAAAATGTGCAAGACGCATCTAATTCTGGAACCTTCAGGAAAGACGGGCAATGAACCTTTCAGAGAGATGGCGAACACTCATAAAGAGGTTTGGGAATGCATTGTCCATTAAACGGACTTGTTTATTAGGAAATTTTGACTCACAGTCGACCCTAAAAGTAGGCAGAAACTTTTCGAACAACCCAAAATGCCGATGCGCACCCTAAAAAAGGGTTGGTCAGCGCTAAGGACTTCCACTTTCAACAATGACAACGAACTCTACTTGCACACGAGGTTGAAGTTAGGAAGAAGAAGTCGAACTAAAAAGAAGATGGTCAACGGCTCCGGGTTATAAACAAAGGTTCTAAACCGAGAGAATGTGTGTACTGCATCATTCACTTCAGTGGCTCATCACTTTAGTGGCTCGGTTAGGAAACGTTCAAGAGCGAATAGACACTGACGAGTATTCGAAGAAAACGATAGTCAAGGGAAAAGAGTAGACCCTCCCACGATGGCAATTTGCTCCTACCCGACGGTTTGATTATCCCTTTGACGACGATGGCACCCGCCGGTGGGCGTCACTATGACTGGCGCATGGGACCACGACATCCAATATTGGGTGCCACCAGGTTTTTCCTTTATTTGCACATCTAAATTTTATATATTATTCTCTTATTTATTGAGAAACTTCATGGTATTTTACTCAACATGTACACGTGAATGTTTGTAGGACTTTATCTATTACAAACATATATAGTCAGTGAAGTAAAACTGCAAAGGTTTAGATACTTTGGCAAGATTTGTGTGTGTCCTGGAAGCATTGCAGGCAGAACTTAGAACACCTGATTTGCGATTGTGTGACCGCGCGGTCAATCTCTTCATCCTCAAGTTCCTTGGACGTTACATGAATCTTTATATCTTACTGCTCACACTGTTACCGAAGTCCTAACCTACATTGCTTCCAAGTCGGAAGTGCAATTCTAAGCCTCAGTTTTTATAAGACAAAAAAGGTCTGTTGCTTCTGCTATGCGGAAATATTGCCAAGTTTATTAGGCCAGAGAAAGAGTTCCTCCTGGGACCATATCACCCACCGGAGGATGCCAGTCGCGCAAAAGGAAGGTGGGGGGGGGGGGGGGGGGGGGGGGNGGGGGTGATCCCATGAGCGCGTCACGTCGAACAGCGCATTGTCGTCAAGAGGTTGAGAGAGACGTCTAGAGGAACAGTCACGCCTGAATTACTAGGGAGGATGTAGACGGTCTTCGCCGCTTCAACAGCCATTTACATATGACTATGATCTATTATATATTGTTATGCATATGTAATAAATCGTAGAGAATATCTGGCAGCCCCTCTATATGTACATTACGCTCTGAACTCCTCATCCCGCCCCTATTGATTTGACTCCGTCCACTCTGGTAACACATAGGGAGCATTCTGGATATAGACAATGTTGGAAACAGCACCAGGTCTCCAGCATGAACCTAAGCAAAGGATGAACTTCTGGGACAATGAGGTGAATTAACCTATATTTGAAAAGTCGCCTTGTATGTATTAATGTGTTTTACCTCGCCAACGAGCTTGCGAATAGCAACAGCAACAACAGCTGGCACCTGATATCCAGATTCATTGTTTCCTTAGAGTGGTGAAACACTTTTGTGCCGTCCAAGTAAATAAAATACTTTTGTCATCAAAACAAAGTTGGCGAGTTATGGACCAAAGTTTGGCCTAGGACGGGACTCGGACCCATTCTCGTGCTATCCGTGCTCCGTAATCCCACCCCTTGCACTACCGAGACCTATTAGGTCGTAACATAAGTTCGTAGAGTTTTTTCACAAAGATTTATTTTAACAAAAAACAATAATAATAATAATAAATTAATCAATGATGTATCCTCCTATTATTGTTTGCGACCTCCTCCAATCTCTCGACCAATTTGTTGATGCCGTTTCGCCAAAAATCGGCCGGTCTGGTGTTGAAGAAGTTGTTGAGCCAGTTTTTAAGAAACTTTCGCCATCGAAGGTGACACTCCTCATTGGGTTCGACAGAGAGCGGAAACGTGGTAGTCGGTAGGTGGAAGATCCGGAGAGTACGGTGGATGCTGAAGAACCTTTCATTCAAGCTTTTGGAGTGCTGTTTTGGCGACTTGGGCATTATGGGGCCTGGCGTTGTCGTGGAGCAAAATGACTTGCCCTTGTCTATCGGGTCTTTTCGGCCGAATAGCCTTACTAACACGGTTTAGCTGGGCAATGTAGACCTCCTTGGTGACAGTAGTGTTTCGTTCGAGCATTTCCCAGTGCACCATGCCTTTCCAGTCTCACCAAACGCAAATCATGACCTTTTTTGAGTAAAGGTCTTGCTCGACTCTCGGCTTCGGTGTCTCTCCTGGGACCACCCAGAGACACACCTAAGACACCTTCCTCGTACACACTGCATATGTCCCGAACGGTTTCGGCTGCTTATTGACCTCGATGAAAAGCAGATGTCGAAAATGCTGATTTTCTCCTCCTGGATATTCCAATTCTGAGCCAGAAAAAAGACGTACAACTAGATTATCCAAAAAAACCAATAAAACCGTTTTATAGAGCAGAAAGAGCCCTTTCGAATGAATATATACACTTCGCGAAAAAACAAAGCGAATCGTTGTAAAATGACCCTAGCACAAAACTCTACGAACTTATGTTACAACTCAATAGATTGCCCTCGTCTTCCTAACGACTTATACGCTATAGCTTGTTAGCGCTCTCACATGAACATGCGGCGAAATCAAGTCAGAAATTTTGTCAGTGCTCCCCCTCGTCCGTAGACCAATTCTTTTGGAACTTCATGTCAATGTCACCAAAATTGAAAAGTCGTGGGAGATCTGAAGAGAATAGAGCAAAGACCACAAAATTGAAAGTGGTCTCTTTTACCTAACCGAAGAACCACGATCAGAGAGAACAATTGAACTGAATGACGACCTCCTTCTAGATCTGGTTGAAGAGAATTCCGGACGTAGTACCCGCGAGCTGGCGCAGGAGCTTACTAGCCATCACAAGACAGTAGCTGCCCACTTGCACAGCCTCGGAAAGACATGGAGATACGTAGTATAAATACCTCATGAGTGGATGAGTGGAAAATGTATAGACTTATGCGCCAACTTAATATAATTCGCTGAGTGTGTCTGTTGGTTTGTCGGTGTGTGTGTTCGACCGGAAATTCTTAAGTCCTAATCCCTTGGACCTAGAGGGCTGAAAAGTGGGATGAATACAGGCGGCAGGATAGGAACATTCATGGCATAAAGCAAGACAAGACTCCGATCGCGCACGGTAGGGGGGGGGGGGGGGGGGGGGGAGGGGGTGGCGGGGCGTGTGCGGTAGAAATCATCGTC